TGATTACGTTACCTGACGCACCTGCTTCTCGTCCCCAGATCACCACCAGCTGCACCTGATTAGTTTCTCCCTATTTATTCCCTGCTCACCATCCATTCCCCTGCCAGTACTTTCTAGCATTCTCAGGCCCGTCAGTTCCCGTTGTTTTGATTGTTTTATATAGACCTTTGTTTACCTTCACTTACGTCCATACGCCCGAGCGGTGTTCTCCTACGTTTGTTGTTTCCTCCTCCTCGAGTCGCTCCACCGGACCACGGACCTCCTCTGCTCAGTTCCATCTCCACCACGCAGGTCGATGCACAGTCTTCCCTTAACTGCCTCACTAACTCTGTCTCCTCAGCAACCATCATCCCCGACCAGTCCAGGAGTGAACCCCAGCGTCTGCAGCCCGGCCGTCCCACAATCACTGCACCACTGACTGTGATTTTGCCATACCTGCTGCTTGACACCCAGTCCCGTTTCTACATCCTCCGTCTGGTTATACACTTGCTTGTCTGAAATCACTGTAAATAAATTGAGCACTACTTGCACTGAAGTCAGCTACCTGGGTCCGTCATTTTTTGTCGACTCGCTCACCTCTGTGTCCGAGCAGACTTAACATCTCCACTGTTTTGAGCGTGTTCAGCTCCAGGGTTGTTGCGGCTACACCGCAGGACCAGCTGCTCAACCTCCCGTCTGTAGGCTGACTCGTCACCGTTTCAGATGAGACCAATGACCGTTGTGTCATCAGAAAACTTTAGGAGCTTGACAGAGGGGTCCTTCGAGATGCAATCATTGGTGTGCTGATTGTCCAGGTGCTGGATGTGGTTTTCCCCAGCCTTACCTGCTGCTTACTGTCTGTCAGAAAGCTTGTAATCCACGAGGTGTTGCAGGATGTAATGCAGTGTCATGTTCACTGCATCGTCCACTGACCTGTTTGCCCAGCAGGCGAACTGCAGGGGGTCCAGCAGGGGGTCTACGATGTCCTTCAGGTGGGCATAATGTGCAGATGATCCACTGCCATGGTTTTATACAAACAGGGTAATTATAAAATGTGTTTCAAATGTTTATGTGTATTTTCTTTACGTTAAAGGGAACATGTTAGGAGTCCCAGCCTTTGATTGTTATGTTTTCTGTTTGTTCTAAAAGGACCAAGGTGGGGTCAGATATGGTCCCATCATATTTCTTAAATCTGTGGTAGAAAATACTGTTATAAAGTACAGTTTTGAAGTACTTTGCTTAAGTATTTCCATTTTATGCCTCATTTCTGAGACAAATATACTTTTTACTTTACATATACTTTTTAAAATATGTTTTGACAGATTTCAGTCCTAAGATTAAGATCCTACATGAAAAACTAATTATAATATACAGTGTATCATTGAAGTTTGCAACATTTTGTCTTGTAACTGCTACAACTGCTTGGGGTCCCTTGTCGTGTCAGATGTCTATGAGTTGTTAGTAGTTGCACCAAAATGACATTTATCCTATGCATTTCAGAGATGGTTTCAAAGAATGTTCAGGGCCCAGAGAGGAATAACTGATCCAGTATTTCACAAAAAGAGCAGACATTAGGGAAAAGTCCAATAGATGAATCCAGACATGTAGCATAGCACTGTTCTCCCTTCTTTCTTATACTATTCACAATCTCCTGACTCATCATATTTAACTGTGAAAGCAGCTTAGCCCCTAGGCTGGGACCCACTGAACTAAAATACCTAATGTTATAAAATGTAATTAAAACTAGTTCCACCTTAGCCAATGATAGCAGTAAAGTGCTACTTAAACATTGATGCATTTCTTTTTACAATCTATAAATAATATGTAGCTATAATATTGTTGTAACACTATTTGTACTTATTAGTAAAGATTTGAATCTTTCCACCACTAATCTTATGGCATAAAATGAGCCAAGAATTTGAAAAGTCTGAATCAAGTTTTATCACATAATTGTGTCTGTATACACACTACATACTACAGTTTAAACATTCCCTGCCTTTAAGAAAAGAGATGTAACCTGTGGATCCACAGGGAATACAGTTCACATCTTCATTGCACTGGCTCCTCTTCAGAGTGTACTGTATATTCCTCAGTTGCCCACACACACCCACTGTGCCTATCTGTAGCCCAGCGCTCCTGTCATGCCTCGTGTGTCGTGACAGCTCCCTGTTTTATTCTCAGTCCTTCCGTCACCCTCTGCTCCCCTGGAATTTCAATCTCATGTTCTCTTGTTTCCTCTCTCAAGCACCCCCACCAAAATCCCTAGCCTTCATTTCCTTCCCATGTCTGCTGGAGAGGGATGAGCAAAGGGAAACTGTTCTCACTGGTAGGAAAAGAAAGCCGCCAGGTTGTGAGGATGGAAATGTTAGTTAAATTGGTAAATTGAACCCTTTCTCATTACATACATGAACAGTTTTTCTCTTAGATGTTACCTTATGTTGAAGATGAAGAGGTAGTGTGAGTATAGGTCACAGAGAAGGTAATTTTATTAATTCTAATTACTCTTAAAATTAAGGCTCTATTTCTGCTTGAACAGGAAGAAAGAGAAAAATAAAAAGGAAATTATGTATTTCCAGCAGTGTCTGTGACAAATGTGGCAGTATCAGTTGGTGCATGGATTTGCAAAACCTCTACAAAAGAAACCATCAACACCCCAAATCAAACTGAACTGGGGTGACAGTGAGTTAGCAGCCAGTCTTTGTGAAATGTCTTACGTCAGTGAAAACCGCACTTACATTTTGGGTTGTGACTTGAGTTAGATCCATGCTTTGTAGAGCAGTGGAATTGAACTAAGTACATTTATTGAAGGACAGTTTTTAGTTCCTTTCCTTTAATATTTTCATTATCTGTTGCCTTCAGGTGGAAATGTTTTACTTATTAGTCCACTGCATTTGTTTGTCAGATGTAATTATTAGTAACATTTCAGGATCTGATTTTACATATTTTATTTAACAAAAAACAAAGTATATAAAAGATAAAACCAGAGTTTCTCAAACTTCTGACTTGTAACCACTAATAAAAACTCTGAATTGTTTAGCTGAGACCCTTTAGTTAGAGCTTTAACAGTTCCTCTATTTATAATGTTGTTTAAGGTTAAAGGAGCACAAGAGGTAAAATGATTGTCACCCAGTGATTTTGCCCAACTGTAGATAGAGTACTTAAAGAGCCCATGTCATGCTTTTCCGTGTTTACTGACTTATCTACAATGTTACAACAGTGAATTATCATCTTGACGTGACCTAAAGCTCAAAAAATGAGCTGTACGTATGTTTTAGTACTTCTATGCAGAAGTAACTCGGTTTATACAAGTTTCACAAACTCTCAGTTGCAAGACTTTTTTTCTAACAATGTAAAGTCTTACGTGATAGTTTAAGGATTTCTTTAAGGAGAAGATTCTAACCATCCATGATGTTATTGTCGGCACTAAGCTACTGGTTGGAATTAATTTCACTACTTTGGGACTGTATGTGGTCGTGTGAGGGAAGACGCAGTGATCGCCAGTAGGATTTACCGACCTTGGAGCTACTTGAAAGGGAGTGATGTTTCCACTACTCAGTGGGACTTAACGGTAAGTAAAAACACCACACGGTACATGTCTGTTAAAGCCTTGTTTCTGTAAAATAGTTGTAAAGCTGGAGAAGTTACTATGTCTGCATTATGCCAGTTAAAATATGGGGTTTCTCAATTACCCGCTTTGTTTAGGGGGTTACACATCTCTTTTCATCAGTACATACAGTATACCATTGTTTACCTGTCAATGGAGAAGAAATTCAAATTTATTAATGTTGTTGTGATTCCTTGTGCTGTCCACTTTCGACACAACACCAGTAACAGGAGTTGTGTGTTCATGAACTATCCTCTCATTTTTAGGAAGAGGCTCTTTGCTTTTATTGTTCTGAAATAATTACAGACTATTTGGAGTGATGATGGGTGCAAAGCTAATCTAGAGGTACCTTAAATGGCTGGAAATGAGCAAAATGAGCATGCCATGGGCACTTTGTTTACTGTCTGCAGTAGTTTTAGTCTGACGCTTTTGAGTGGTCAGTATTAATTTTCAACATTACTTTTCTGCGGAATTACTACTTTTGGATTTTTCTGATAATACTGTAGCGTTGGGGGTGGAGAGACACTTGGCAAGGTCCCCCAGAATGCCTAAGGGGGAAAGACCTGGCAGGATCCCCCAAAATGCCCCTCAGGGTAGGATATGTTTAGTTCAGAGTTGGTGTGTGTGTTCTACATTATGTTGTTGCTATAATACCCAGTTGTATTCTATTAAAAGAG